ATCCGCGCCGTAAAGCGTAATTGCGCTCATCGTAAAAGCTCGATACGGAAAAGAGCAACGCGTAATGTAGCAGGCAAATTTCAAAGAGAGACAGAGCGAGAGAAAGGGAGAAGAAGCGGAGGGAGGCAATACCACGTCGATGGATTTCATGAGAGAATCAGCTGACGGTGGATCGCTGACGGTGAAACCGGCAAGAAACTGATACCCCAAAATAGACGCGTTCCCTTCGCACGGTTTTTGCACGATGCTGTTTTTACGCAAAAGCTCAAAGAGTTCGTGCTTCTCGTGTAGCCGTCGCTAGCAATGTTAGCGCAATGTGGTCGCTAGCAAAAATAGCGACCGACCAATCACGATATCGAACAGTTTAAGGGGTTTCTGTAGTGTGTGTCGGGTAAAAAATTTCGAATTTTTTTTATTACATTTTTTTTTAATTTAACTTCTTAAAAATAATACCCCAAAGTATTATAGCTGGTTTCTAAGTGTTTATAAAGATATAGGTTTCGCAGCCGCGCCGTGCGCAGATATGATGAGTACATTTGGCGGTCGGTCAGAAGGAGCCGGCTCTTGGCTGAGCCTATCGTTGTTAGAATTTAGTCTGGCGCTATATTATATCTTAGTATATCAGAGTAACGTAATATCTGGCACGAAACTATACATTTAGTATATTATAACGGCTTGTTGTAGCACTTTGCTCCAAAATATCTACATTGCGGCTTGAAAACAATTGAAATTGCCAATTATCTGACCGTCGGCATTTTCAATGAAGGCTACTACGCAGTCCTGAAAGTTTTTCAGACAATGAGAGTAGTCATTGGCCCAGTAGCCAAGCAATTCGCCGACAAGCGAGACGATAAGCGGGTTTGCGGATCGCCGAGCGTCACATGAGGTGACGAAGGAGGCTCGCATAGCCAACAGAAAAGCTTAGGAACGAGTTTTATTATTTAAAAAAGAAAGTATGAAGAAAAATGAAGAAGAAAGTATTCTGTACGGCCCTGGAATAGCTGATTAGCTGTAAGTACCATAAATTTCAAATTATATACTAAAAATATGTATGTAAAACTTTAAATGCGTTTTTCTCAAAACATGCATTTTTCAAACTGATCACCACGATAACGAAACTCGAGAACGAATGGTCGAATCCACTTAAAGTTTTGTAGGTATATACAATAGATATATAGTTTTCGTTTGACCTAAAACTTTTTTGATGCGTTTAAAATAAAAAATTTGACACTCAAGAAACTATGAAATTTTTGCCAAAAATTAAGAAAAAACAATAAATGCACTATAATTTTTAAAAATTTTCAATATTTTTTATGATTTTAGGCCAAACAGTAGCTACATATATGCAGATTAAGAATTTTTTTGGTTTCTTTTTTGGTTTTTTTGTTTCAGACAACCAGAACGGCAGCAATTATGGTTACAGTCCACAAACTTTTTTTGGAGGTGCTCCGGCAGAATGGCTAACACGCTGTTATTTATACATATATATACTTGAAAAAATTTTGATATATTCGTTAAATGTAGTACAATATATAATGTAGTACAATATATACGAAAAGTGTTATATCAATTAGTTTTGTCGTTTTTATTTTAAAAATTCCTAAAAAATCACCCTGCTTTAGGCTCTATCACACTAGGGAAACCCTTTAATGCTTAACTGATCGCGTGCTTACTTTCTCAAAATGAATCGGTAAAAATATTTTCGATTGAATCGGCGAAAGGGGTATTTCACTAATTTTTTTAGAGGAAACACTCCCGCTTTACTGCTCTATTTTATATCTCATTGATATTGCTTACTTTCTCAAAATGAATCGGTAAAAATATTTTCGATTGAATCGGCGAAAAGGGTATTTCACTAATTTTTTTTAGAGAAAATACTCTCGCTTTACTGCTCTATTTTATATCTCATTGATATTGATAGTGGGAATAAAATTTCACTATAAAATCTGTAGCGCACAAAATTCGTTACACGCTCTGTCAAATCCAACTTTCTGCGTTTGTGGCGATGAAATTAACAGCTTTCATGCAATAATACGAATAATCGATATTATCGACGGATTCTTTCAATAAGATTTTACTGATTGCAGTGCAATACATTCAGAGAAAAAGACATGACAATTATACAGGATATTACAACTCGATTTCACAATCTCTCGTAAGAGCATAAAGCACATTGAAGTGAAAAGTCTTATACCGTTTTACGATATTCGTAATAACTATCGAGATATTAATTAAAATAGATTTGTTAATGATGACGCGCGATATGGTAAATGAGCTGTAATGACGACGTCTGTCGTCATGTTTGTATATTAGGCCAATTGAGTAAAAAAGTCTACTACCATTTTGCAAACAGCCACGTAGATTTAGTTATTAGTTAAAGAAAATTAGTACATTATCGCGCAAAGTTGTGCAACAATGTTCTTCAATAAATAATTAAAAATCTACGTGGTTATTTGCAAAATGGTAGAGCACTTTTTTATTCAGTTTGACCTAATATACAAGTATATATGATGGCACACGTCGTCACTCCAGTTTATCTACCACATCATGTATGATTATTTACAAATCTTGTACAAATTAATATCTCAATCATTATCGCGGTTTTCACGAAAATTTTCAAACGAATTTTTTTATTCATCTTAATCCACTCTACGTCTACGAGAGATTGTGAAATCGAGCTGGAATACTACCCTGTATAGGTGAAAGCTGTACAAGTTTAGTAAGTAGAGTTAGTAAGTAGAATTAGTATATATTATAGTTTAACGTATGTAGTTAACGTATATAATAACGTATATAGTTTAATAAACTATTTATAATCATTGTAACTAAAGCTTTAGTTGCAATATAACTACTATATGCATTATAATTGCACATATAAAACTCGTACAGTTGTTACCTTTATGATTGCTATTATTATCATATTTTTCCGAATAGCTAAAACAGTTATAAGTATAGGATTTCAATAAAGAAAACACCGATTAAACTTTAGAGAGAGAATTCTTGACCTTTAACGTACAGTCCGTTGACAAAATCGAAATACCCGTTCGATGAAGGGTCGAATGTACCGGAAACCGGATATTTCATTTCGAAACTCGATGCAAGATACGTCAACGCAGAATTGCTCTCCGAATAGTAGTAGTATCGGCGATCTTCCGTTACGAATTTTACTCTTTGCTTCGCCCGGGAAAAGTAATTGGCTGCTCTCCCCATAGACCCCGCCGAAGTTACCGAGTTAAGTGTCTCGCGGATCCGCTTTCTTCCTTTTACGAGAAGCAAGAAAGTCCTAGCGGCATTCGAGTTCATAAATTTCATCTCGCGCGCCGTCGAATTTCCCGACGAAAAAGATTTATACGGAGAGTAAAGAGGGTGTGAGATCGGGGGTGTGAGAGGACAGGCGGGAGGAAGTGAGAATGAGAGAAAGAGAAAGAGGGAGAGGAGAGAGAGGGAGGGAGAGGAGAGAGAGGGAGGGAAAGAGAGAGAGAGGAAGAGAAAGAGAAAGAGGCCTGTTTTCTCATAACCCGTCTCCTAATACTCCTTTAATTTCCCGTTTTCTTCGCCGGCCTACTTCGCACGAGTCTCCGCCGTTAATACGATTAAAGTGGCGGTGCCGTCGACGCGCCCTCAACAACACCGACTTTCTTTCGGCTAATTCCTCCCTTTGCTTTCGAGCGGCTACCGTTCTGCCGAGGAATTTTCGCGACGCGTGCCGAAAGCGCGGCGCGACGCGTCGTGCAGGAAGTCGATTAAATGCCTGTCCATTTGCATAGCAATGCATAATAATTAGTGGTTAAACTAGAGCGCGACAGATTGGTACGCGCGGCTTGGCCTCCCCTGTCTATCGTCTCGCAGCATGTAACCGCAATCCTTGGTAAAGCCGGTGCGCGCCCTTCGTTCCGCAGATGTTTCCTCCGTATCTCTCGTATAACTGGTGTAAATATGCCAACCGTGCATTCCGCCTTACCGCAGAATGCTGATTTTTCGCGTATAACCGCCGATCACGAACGGACAATTTATTGGAGTATTATAGACTGTTATTCGGCGTTACCGATGGCTATCTCGTTATCGTTCAGACACGGAATGCCTACTTGTTTGGCATGTTCACCCAATGTGTGGCTTCGGCGAGAAACACGTCGAATTGACAGATTGTCCTAAGCCGGGATACCTAGCAATTGCAAAGCCAGGATACCTAGCGATTGGGAGTTATAACTTCATATGCAGAACCGTACAAGTACAGAAACATTGCAAGTTTCTAATTTTTTCATATTTTTAATAGCACATTTATTTCTTAAAATATAAACAGTAAATATAAAATGGAAGGGTAGTCAGTTACTGAATGTCGATCTATTATTCCTCAACTGTAAAATTCTATAACAATTTTTGCTGTACAGTTCTCTCCGTGTATGCAATTATTCGAGTCAAAATTTTGTTTCTACATCAGCTTTCTCAAATTTTGTCGAATTGTGGGTGATGCAAATGACTATTTTGTCAGAGAAAAATTGAACAAGTTCTTATTAGACAATAATAGACAATAAGTGTTATAAGAGCAATCTGCAATTAGACGACATTCTACGGCAGACGCTTCAATCCCTCTATTCCCGTGTAAAACAATTTGTTTGCGTACTTATAGTGCCCAAGGTTCCACACATTTTTCTCCTCTTTGCGCAGGGCTATCTAGAGAAAAATTGTATTGTCTTAGCTCCGACCAAGATGCCGCGGCACGTCGCCAAACAGAAGCTTTTATGTGACTGCGATTTTGAAATAAGAGTTGTTCCACGAAAATATTGTATCGTTGTGAAAGGCTACCGAAAATTGCAACAGTCAAAATGTTTTAGATATTTTAAGAAATGCGAAACACATCGTGTATGCGCGAGATATTTCTGTTCGCTTAATCCTTTGATCATAAAACGAAATAGGCATAATTGAAATTCGTTCGACTCAAAATACGCGTAATATATAGCTGACGTCATGGCAATAATGTCGACAAACATTTGTTTCACAGATCGATCTGACACTTCGGCTCGAGCAATCCAAATTATTTCGTGGATTATGCTTCAAATTAACAGTTAAAGGACAACGTCAGCGGCCGCAGGATGCGTCGCAAAAACCGATCTATCAAATGGCGACGGATTGTTAGACTACACACCAACGTCTCCGGGGAAGGCGAAAGTATGTGTGAGATTCGCGACAAAATTCCAACCTATAAATTAATTGTATTACTGTTATTTTATTATTGTTGCTATTATTGTCATTATTAACTCCACAGAGCGGGAATTTCTCGGCGCGAAAATTCCGTCAGGCGCCGACTCTCGTCGTCGTCCGCGCGCGATAATTATTCGTTGACAGAAGATAATTTGACGCGCGTTATTAAACGCGCCTCGCCGCGGAGAGCTCCGCTTTCGCGTTTATTCCATCTCGTCCACGCGATTCACTTCCCGAGCTACGAAAATCCATTACAATCTTTCTCGTCCGCGTCTCGTATCGTACAATATACGGGGTGGCGCGGCTTCACAGAAGAACGCTTTCTCTCTCTCTCTCTCTCTCTTTCTGTCTGTCGCTCTATCTCTCTCTTTCCTCGTTTCCCCTCATATTCCGCCGCGATGCTTCGCGCGGGGTGAACGCGCAATATAATCTCTGTATATACACACAAGAATAGTGTCTCGACCGAGTCGCCGGGGAGTGTTTGATCGTTCTGAAAATTGCGGACGATGAACGAACGCGCGCGCGCGCCGGCACACTCCTTCGAGTCCGCATCGTTTCCGGTACGTTGTCATCGAGCCGCGGCAAAAACGCGATTATTTCGGGGGGTGGTAGCGGGCGGAAATCACGCTGGATGGGAGCCGAAGGGGATGGATGAATGAACGCGGAGGGAACATTGAAGTGGTCGCGCACTTTACGAAATGAGATACACCCACGCCGATGAAACGCCACCACACCTATGTATACCACGATGATACGCGGATACATAGCGACGGAATTAAGAACAGCGCGCAACCAACTCTGTCTCGTTTCCCCGTGCCGTAGGACGCCGAGCTAACAACGAGCCGAAAGTAAAAATCCGCCGTGAAGGCGACGAGAATCACCGTCGGATTTAATGGCCGCGCATTTCACCGAGAGAAACGCAGCCCGCCGTCGGTTGAAGCGCGGGAGTAATCGCGACGCGGCTTTGTATCGCTTGAGCGCGCGATCCGGAATTTGCGAGGATCTGAAATACTTGGAGAAATCTGTCCTCGCCACGCCTTAGGCAAAAAGAATCGTATGGCATCCACATTGTGCAAGCCTGGATATCCAAATCTGAAGTTCCTCGAGTAAGAGTTAGGACATCGCATGATGATTCCTCATTGGGCTAGATCTTATCCGCCATTAATAGAGAAGAAGCGAATAGGAGTGGGAGAGAAGCTCTAACACTGAAACGACGAAACATACTTCGGCTTTTCATTCTCTCTCTCTCTCTCTTTCTTTCTTTCTCTTTCTCTCTCTCACTCACTGACTTATTCTCTTCTTCCCTTTAAATGGCGGACAATGTCCTAATTCTTACTCGAGGAACTCTACCCAAATCAAATTGGATGTTCAATTGATAGCCGAGTAAGTAGCGGTAGTAGTAGTAGTAGAGGATACGCGATTGGACGTTTCCGCGTCGTGTGGATCGCGATTGACGCGAAGAAAGTACGCCAGATAATTGAGCGCGATAACGATGCTTTATAGAGCGTCAAGATCTTATCCGATCAATCTCGCGACGTATTACATAAGAAATAGTCGCGCCGCCATGGCAGTCGATATACACCGCGAAACACCAGGTCGCTCTGGCGAAAGCGCATCCTTCAGGGATGACTTGCTCGCGACGCGGCTGTTAATCGCTACATTTTTAATCGAGATACACGCCGACACAGCTCCGGGGTTTGCTGCGCCCGCGCTTTTTCCCGACCGCAGCAAATGCATGCTGCACGTGTTAGCACTTTTTGTTAAATTTTTGATCGATCGTTTTCATCTCTCCGTGGAGCGGAGAGAGAACCAGCGGCGGCGGCGGCAGCTACATCGAACGTTGCGGTCTCGGTTTTGCGCCTGACACGCTCGAGCGAAGATTCGCGTGGATCATGTCTTTTTTTCGCTCCTTCCATCTCCCCCACTCTCATTTCGTTTTTATTTGTCGATCAATTACCGAGCGTGTCGGATGACGAAGATGGCGAGTCGTTCGCGATCTTGATTCACTCGTCGGCGATTAAAGCCCGTGTATCTTCTTACAGGAATGTCGCGCTCAGGTGTTTCAAGGGGCGCGCGGCATACGCGATACGCAAGTGTTGTAACAAACGATTCATATTTCATCGAGCGCGCGGAAAGAACCATTTTCCCGCGAGATCGTTCGCTTTTCCCCGGCGTGCTCGCGTAGCCGAATTCTCTCCTCCACCTCTTTGGCCGTCTCGCGATTTTCCGCTGTCGAATTCGACGGGCGGAGGCCGTCGGATGTGGGTCGGCGCTGGAATACATCTATGTGGAAATAAAAAATGTATGCCAATGCGCGGAGTGTGAAGCCGAAATCGTTGTCAATCGATCGTCCGCGGCACCCTTCTCGCAATCACGGAAGACCGAGTGGTGCGGATTCGTCCAATCCGCAATCTCTCCCCCGTTGTCGCATTAAAAATGCGACTCATGTAGGCGAAAAAAATCAATAGCATACCGTCGCCGCGTATTGATCGGATTCTCCATGTGCGATGAAAGAAATTTCATAACAATCGCGAAAATATCTTTCGTCGCTCTTCAAGATGACTTCTATTTACTATTCATAGACGTCATTTCTATTCGTCTGCGTTCAGACGCATTAAACAGATACAGAGGAAATATTGTAATAAATATTGCGACAAAATTGTCGCAATCTTGGATCGTACAGAATTGTGACCGAAATTGCCATATATTTGTTTCAAGATATCATGCGCATTTCACCTTTTATTATATAACAATTACTGGAATTACTTGAATGTTTTCTATATCGTGTATTCTGTAGCTCGTCAAATTTATTATTTTTTTAGTAATTTATATTACGATTTCAGTATAGTCCAACTTGAACTGGAAACATTGTAAGATAAAATATAGTGCTCTATTGTAAAATATAGTATTATGAAATATAGCTGTATTGTCCTTTTGTATAAATATTTCTATTTTACGTGTAATCAAGTAGTTCTTATGCTTATTTCTAATTACAGCATTCATTGCATCATCAGTACTATTAGCATTTTAACTTATTCATTTACTTTAATTTATTTTTTGTGCGACAATATAATTTATTATTATTACGTTATTGTATACGAAAAAGGACATTCTCGTCACAATATTGTTATTATTATTACAATTTTTCCGTAATTTTTATTACAATATTTTCTCTTTCTAATCGATATTCCGTGACAAAATTATCCTGTATATTGAAGAGTTTTTTATCTTGCAATAAATCGTAAAAACGAATAAACGTTTCTGGCGCAATCACATTATGTCGATTTTACGGTCCGCTGTGAAAATGTCACACCCACGAAGAATCGCGGAATTTGACGTCGAGGAGTGGAAAATAATATGTCTCTCCGTACTACGGAGATCCTTCTATAGTGCGACTTAATCGCGTTTCATCTTATCAAGAATTTCCTCACATCTGCCGTGCTAATTTTGGATGGCAGGTCAGGCGTACGTCATATCTGGCAGAGCGCAGGCCGTGCTCTCCGCCGTCCTAGAGAGCATATTGGACGAGTGTCTGCAAGACGCTAAGAATTTGGCTACGGCAGTCGGCAAAAGCTGCGTCACCCCCGAAGAAATGGAGAAAGCATTGAGGAGCCTCTGTCTACGTTTGAACGCGCAGTCAGGCACACCGGGCAAACAGAAACTTAGCACGCAACGTGAACACGCTTGAAGTGAGAGATTGTATGCGCATGGTGAAGTCTTCTCGGTGAGATTATACTACCCATCTTTGCCACTATCGTCTTTATCGCTAATAAATGTGGAATTATACGAAGGTACGCGGTACCCGTAAACGTCTCTATTTACTCTGTCGTCTCTCTATAATATTCACGTTTACATTTATTCACAATACAACTCTAGAATGGAGAGAACGAAGTCAACAAATTTGTCATGGTACTATTATCAGTATTTTGCGTATAATATATATAAAATAGGATTGCATATATGCATTATATGGGAAAAGAAAAAGAATATGTTAAAACTCGGAAAGTTGCAGCTTTTACTCCCGGTTGTGTCAAGACTCAAGAAGAATCTTATAAGATTGCATAATGTATAATTTCTCAATATATCATATATATTATATAATATATATATATATATATATATATATATATATATATAT